CACTGCAAGCTCTGCCTCCCGGGTTCACGCCATTCTCCTGCCTCAGCCTCCCAAGTAGCTGGGACTACAGGCGCCCACCACCAAGCCCGGCTAATTTTTTGTGTTTTTAGTAGAGACGGGGTTTCACCGTGTTAGCCAGGATGGTCTCGATCTCCTGACCTCATGATCCACCCGCCTCAGCCTTCCAAAGTGCTGGAATTACAGTCATGAGCCAACGTGCCTGGCCCTATTTATTTATTTTTTTTGAGACAAGGTCTTGCTCTGTTACACAGGCTGGAGTACAGTGACATGATCTTGGCTCACTGCAGCCTCAACCTCCTGGGCTCAAGCGATTCTCCCACCTCAGCCTCCTGAGTAGCTGGGACCACAGGCTCACACCACCATGCCTGACTTATTTTTAAATTTTTTGTAGAGATTGCCCAGGCTGGTCTCGAACTCCTGGGCTCAAGCAGTCTGCCCATTTTGGCCTCCCAAAGTGCCGGGATTACAGTCATGAGCCACTGTGCCCGGCCTAAAATTTTTTTTTATTGTGTTATAACATACATGAAATAATATGCACAAATCTTTAATATCCATTTTGCTGCAGCTTTATATATGTATATACCCTTGTAATCACCATCAGGTTGGGGTGTAGAACATTTTCAGCAATTCAGAAGGCTCATTTCTGCCTCCTTCCAGTTAATACCCCCTTACTTAAGGTGACTGCAGGCTGTGCATGGTGGCTCATGCCTATAATCCTAGCACCTTCAGAGCCTGAGGCAGGAGGATCACTTAAGGCCAGGAGTTTGAGACCAGCCTGGGCAACACAGTGAGACACTGTTATCTACAAAAAATAAAAAAAAAATTAGCTGGGCATGGTAGCACATATCTGTAGTTTCAGGTACTCGAGAGGCTGAGGTTGGAGGATTGCTTGAGCCCAAGAATTGGAGGCTACAGTGAGCTATGCTCTCACCCCTCCACTACAGCCTGGGTAACAGAGCAAGCACTTATCTTTTTTTTTTTTTCTTTTTCCTTTTGAGATGGAGTCTCACTCTGTCACCCAGGCTGGAGTGCAATGGCACAATCTTGGCTCACTGCTGCAACCTCCGCCTCCCAGGTTCAAACGATTCTCCTGCCTCAGCCTCCCGAGTAGCTGAGGCTACAGGCACCCGCCACCACGCCTGGCTAATTTTTGTATTTTTAGTAGAGACAGGGTTTCACCATATTGGCCAGCTGGTCTCAAACTCCTGACCTTGTGATCCACCGGCCTTGGCCTCCCAAAGTGCTGTGATTACAGGCATGAGCCACTGCGCCCGGCTGCACCCGTCTCTTTAAAAAATAAATAAGACTGGCACGGCCGGGCGCAGTGGCTCAAGCCTGTAATCCTAGCACTTTGGGAGGCCGAGAAGGGCGGATCACGAAGTCAGGAGACTGAGACCATCCTGGCTAACCCGGTGAAACCCCGTCTCTACTAAAAATATACAAAAAAAAAAACTAGCTGGGCGAGGTGGCGGGCGCCTGTAGTCCCAGCTACTCGGGAGGCTGAGGCAGGACAATGGCGTAAACCCGGGAGGCGGAGCTTGCAGTGAGCTGAGATCCGGCCACTGCACTCCAGCCTGGGCAACAGAGTGACACTCCGTCTCAAAACAAAAAACAAAAAAAACAAAAAAAAACCTGGCACAGTGGCTCACGTCCATAATCCTAGCACTGCGGGAGGGTCAGGTGAGTGAATCACTTGAGGTCAGCAGTTCGAGACCAGCCTGGCCAACATGGTGAAACCCTGTCTCTACTAAAAATACAAAACTAGCCACGCATGATGGCGCGTGCTTGTAATCCCAGCTGCCTGGGAGGCTGAGGCAGGACAATCGCTTAAACCCAGGAGGTGTAGGTTGCTGTGAGCTGAGATCGCGCCAGTGCACTCCAGCCTGGGCAGCAGAGTGAGACTCCGTCTCAAAATAAATAAATAAATAAATAAATAAATAAATAAATAAATAAATAAATACTAAACTAACAGAAAATAAAGGTGACTGCAATTCTGACCTCTAGTGCTATAACATTTTTTTGCCTGTTTCTTTAATAGCGTTATGGAGATAGAATGCACAGACCATACATTTCACCCATTTAAAGTGTATAATTCTGTGGCTTTCAGAATATTCACAAAGTTGTGGATTTTAGAATATTTTCATCACATTTCCTTCCAAAAAACCCACAGAAGTCACTCCTCATTTCTCCCAACTCCCCGCTGCCAGCTGTAGGCACCAATAATCTACTTTCTGTCTCTTTAGATTTGTCTGTTCTGAGCCAGGCGTGGTGGCTCATGCCTGTAATCCCAGCACTTCGGGAGGCCGAGGCGGGCAGATCACTAGAGGTCAGGAGTTTGAGTTCAGCCTGGCCAACATGGTGAAACCCCATCTCTACTAAAAATACAAAAATTAGCCGGGCATGGTGGTGCGTGCCTGTAATCCCAGCTACTCAGGAGGCTGAGGCACGAGAATCGCTTGAACCTGGTAGGCAGAGGTTGCAGTGAGCCAAGATTGAGCCACTGCACTCCAGCCTGGGTAACAGAGAAAGACTCCATCTCAAAGAAAAGAAAAAAAAAAAAGATTGCCTGTTCTGGATTTTTCATAGAAGAGGAATTATACAATATGTCGTCTTCATGTTGACTTTCCTTTAACATAATGTTTTTAAGGGTCATCTTTGTTCTAACCTGGCATAGTACTTCATTCCATTTTATGGCCAAATAATATTCCATTGTATGGATATGCCACATTTTCTTTATCTGTTCATAAATTGGTGGACATTAAAGCGCGGTGTTTCCATTTTTTGGCTATTAGGAAGAATGCTGCCATGAATGTCCGTTTACGAGTTTTGTCTCTTTTTGGATTTCACAAAAATGGAACCAATTGGCATCTACTATTTTTTTTTTTTTGGTCTAATTTCTTTCGTTTTGATATTATACCTGTGAGAGGTACCCATTTTGGTGCATTTAGCATTGGCTTGTGCTTTTTTCTTTCTCTCTCTCTCTCTCTTTTTTTTTTTATTTGACAAGATCTTGCTCTGTAGACCAGGCTGGATGCAGTGGCACGATCATGGCTTACTGCAGCCTCGACTTCCTAGACTCAAGTGATCCTCTCACCCTAACCTCCTGAGTAGCCACAACTACAGGCATGCGCCACCATGCCTGGCTAATTTTATTTTATTTATTTATTTTTTAAATTTATTTTTTATTATTATTATACTTTAAGTCTAGGGTACATGTGCATAACGTGCAGGTTTGTTACATATGTATACTTGTGCCATGTTAGTGTGCTGCACCCATCAACTCGTGGCTAATTTTAAAATTTCTGTAGAGACTAGGTCTCCCTGTGTTGCCCAGGCTGGTCTTGAGCTTCTGGGCTCAAGCAGTCCTCCTAAAGTGCTGGGATTACAGGCGTGAGCCACTGAGCCTGGCCGGTTTGTGCTTTTTCATCACTGCGTGGTATTGTATTTTGTGAATGTACCACAGTGTATACATCCATCCTCCTGCTATGGACATCTGGATATCCTCCCATTTTTGTCTGTTATGCACAAAGCTGCTCATACCCTTAATTTCAACATATATTTGCCCACTTCCTCTAAAATCTATCAGTACTTCTCAATCTGATCTAAAATCTCCTCAAAATCTCTGGGTGAGACTCTGAAGTTTAGGACATTATCCAGAAAGATCCACCAAGCTCAAGAATGCACAGCTAATACGAGAGCAGACCCTTGCATTTTACCCATCGCTCTCACAGGTATCAACTCTCAACAATCACAACCATCCAAATGGGCAACGTGGGGCTGCTTGGCAGCGTTCCCTACCTTCCCGAGCTGTGTACTCATTGTCCTCAATGATCCGGGCCAGGCCAAAGTCAGCAATCTTACACACCAAGGATGCAGAGACCAAGATGTTGGCGGCTCGGAGGTCTCGGTGGATGTAGTTCCTCTGCTCGATGAAGGCCATGCCTTCTGCAATCTGCACCCCAAACAGAGACACCTTTGTCCTCAGACCTGGCCTACACCAAGATGGCCCCACCAGAAAGCAGCAGACAGGTGTTTAAGTGGAAGAAAATGGGAAATGTCTGCACCAGCCCTCCCTCTTTTGTCAGGAGGGCCCCAGGGCTCAGGGTGGCATTCGTCCATCAATCCATTCAGGTTAGGGGGATCCCTAAGGCCTGGGCCAGTCTGGGGGATTCTCAAGAGTTCCAAGACTTCCAGAGAGCACTTTGAAATGTTCTCAGGGAAAAAGCTATAGGACTATTTCTCTGGGACCTATTCTTCCAGGAACACACACACACGCGCGCACACACACACACACACACACACACGAACCCTAGGATACTATGAAGAGCTTTCACCTTCAACTCTCTTTCTGGGGACAACCTAGGCTCATGTCATATTCTGCTATACCTCTCCTATCTTCCTCATGCCCCAGCCTGGGTAAGGAAAATTCACCTATTTACTCAAAAGAAATCTACTGAGTGTCTTGTGGGTGCCAGACATGTTGCTTGAACAGGTGACGAGCTAGGCAAAGCCCCTACAGGTGGTAAGTACCATAAAGAAAAGATAAAATAGGTTGGGCATGGTGGCTTACACTTGTAATCCCAGTACTTTGGGAGGCCGAGGTGGGTGGATCACTTGAGGCCAGGAGTTCGAGACCAGCCTGGACAACATGGCAAAAACCCATCTCTACTAAAAATACAAAAAGAAGATGAGCGTGGTGGTGCACGCCTGTAATCCCATCTGCTCAGGGGGCTGAGACACGAGAATTGCTTGGACCCAGGAGGCAGAGACTGCAGTGAGCTGAGATCGTGCCACTGTCCTCCAACCTGGGTGACAGAGCGAGACTCTGTCTCAAAAAGAAAAAAAAATAAAACAGAGTAACAAAATATGACCTGTAGAGAGCTTTTTCAGATTGGGCGTTCAGGGAAACCTGCTTTGAGGGGGTGAGATTTTAGCAAAGATCTGAATGGTGATAATAATAAGTGTGTCCCATAAGAATATTCTAGGCAGAGAGAACATCAGGTGCAAAGGTGTGGAGGTAGGAAAGAGCTTGGGTGTTCATGGAACAGCAGAGGCCAGTGTGGCAGCAGAAGATGCCATAGAGAGAGTATGGAGAGTTGAAGTGGAGAGGAAGGCCGCCAATCATGAACTGCCTTGTAGGCCAGGAGAGGAAGGTGGGTTTTATTCTGAGCGTGCTGGGGAGATATTAGAGGCCTTCGAGCAGGAGTGTGACATGTTCTGATGTACATTTAAAGATCACCATGGCTGCTGAGTGAATAACAGATTGCGGGGAGGATTCTTATTCACGCCAGGGACCCTAGAAGCCTCTGATGAAAACACAAGGATTATATCTTGCAGACATTTTTACTTACAAGGGTTTGGACAAGAGAGGTTGAAGATGAACCCTCAGATGCCCAGAAGGCAGCACTTTTGGTTTGCAAACTGGGCTATGAGCTCTTTGAGGCAGGAATGACCATGATCTCTGTTTTACAGACATGGAACCACTTGTTCCAGATCACACCACCAGGAAAATTCTGAATGTCAGATTCAAACCAGTCTGAGGACTCCCAACCCAGTGCTTCCTGCTGCCTCTAAATAACCCAGCACTCCAGTGCTCCGGCGGACTGCAGCTGGGTGCAGTCTGATGAAATTATTCTGGAAGCCAGGGTATCTGACCAGACAGAACAATCAAAGCACCACCGGCGGGCTTCTCAAGGTCTGAGGCAAGAGGGTGGCGCACTTGCAAGGAGTGGACAGCAGGGGGCACCCGAGGCAGTTAGAATGGAGACCCATGCTTTTCTTTTTTCTTTTCTTCTTTTTTTTATTTCTTTTGAGACAGGGCCTTTCTCTGTCACGGAGTACAGTGGTGGGATCACGGCTTACTGCAACTTGTGCCTCCTAGGCTCAAGCAGTCTTCCCACCTCAGCTTCCGAAGCAGCTGATACTATAGGTGCATGCCACTATGCCAGACTAAATTTAAAAAGAACTTTTTTTTTTTTTTTTTTGAGAGAGACGAGGTCCCACTACGTTGCCCAGGGTGGGCTCAAAGGCTCCTCCTGCTTCAGCTTCCCAAAGTGCTGGGATTACAGGCCTGAGCTGTCACGCCCAAGGGAGACCCAGAGACCCAGATTTTTCAGTAAAAACTTGGAAGAGACTCTAATTTTGTTTGAAATAGTTAGATGTGGGAATGAAATGGGGATGAGGTTGCCAGGGTGGAGTGAGACAGCATCTTGGCCCTCGGAGTGTGGGAAATTTATGGGTCCTTAGATGAACAGTTAACAAAAATTATGCTAATGGAAGGCATCATAGCTTATTTATAAGATGATACTTAAACACTTACGTGACATTTACCATGTGCTTTGGAGGAGGCACTTTTGCTATCAGCCCCATTTCCACATACAAGAAAACTGAAGCCCAGAGAAATAGGTAAGTGGCCCCAGCTTACACAGCTTGCAAGTTGCGGAGCCATGGATGGAGCTCCAAAAGCGCTGCTTGGGGTCCACACTTATCTGTTATTCGGCCCAGCCTTTTTGCCTCGCTTTTCTTCTGGAGCAAGCACTAAACTAATGCCGGTAGTTACCACTGTTTGATCCTCACTGGCAGATGCCCATATGCTACTGATTTTCACAGGAGCTCAATGGGGCAGGGATGACACCCCACTTAGGAGACAGCAGAGGGTAATCGCTTAATGGCTCTGGAGCTGGACCAACTCAGCTTGAGCGCTGCAGCTCTGTGATGTCTAGCAAGTTGTGTCATCTCTCTGTACCTCACTTTTCTTCTCTGTAATAGCACCTGGTTCCAAGGGGTCATGTGAAGATGAATCCCCTAAGCCTACGTCAAAGGCTCAGTAGAGTGTTTGGCACATAGTTAAGTATTTATTTCAAGAGTGGCTCCCAGTGCTCCCAGTGGGGGAAAGTGGCACTCAGAGAGGTTAAGCAACTTGCTCGAAGCTACACAGGCAGAGGTGAGATCAAAACAAAACTCTATGTTACTCCTAAGCCCAGATGCTAATAGTGTTGCTTCTCAAGGATTTGCTGACTGAATGAATAACGAGTAGGTTTATTGGGCCCAGGTGCAGGTTGATAAGGTGGTGAGATTTCATGACCCCCAAATAGGGTGCCTTGAAACTTGGTTTTGCTTCCAAAGGGAGTCACAGCATCAGAGCTGGAAGGACCTGCAGAGCTCTTCAAACTGAATCCTATGGATGCCTCAAGGTTGTATGGGTGGGGGAGACAAAAGAAAGGCCACAGATAAGCCCCCACTCTGCTTCAGTCAGAGCAGCTCTGTTTTGACCTGTTTGTATATATGCAGCTACTGCGTAACATTTCGACCACAGAGCTGTGACCACAAAAACACCACACGCGTGGTCCAGTTCTCTCATTTCCACCTGCTGCTCCAAGCTGCCTCTCTGAGTCTGGAGGTGAAGACCAAGGCCCCAGGTGGGCTCCTTTCTGTCCCTGGGCTCTGAATCTACCTCTGCTTCTGGACAGATGAAGGCCCAGAACCTCTTTTCCTTCCTTGGTTTGTTTTCCCCTCTGTGAAATGGGGAGAGTGGCTCTTGCCCAGTCCATAACTGCTGCCCAGCAGGGTTTCTGCTTGTTCGAAGATGACAATTTAGCAACAAACCAGTCTATTGTCTCCCAGAGGACCTGGCCCATTGGAGTGAAAACACATTTCCATATGCCTCTGGCATTCCAGGCTCTGAAAATAGGGTCTTTTGTTACACTTTGTGGTGTCCTATGGGCCCCTGGAATTTGCATACTCAAATGAGCCTTGCCCTTGGCATCTCCAGCAGGCCCAGCTGAGGCCCAGGCAGAGTCTCACTCAACTCCAACCACCCTCTGGGCTCCTGCTGAGTAGGCTGAACTCCTTCACCTACTTTTGCACAGGTTGTTTCTTTTGTCTAGAAGACCCTTCCCTTTTCTCTTCATTTATTGAACTTCTACTCTTCCTTCAGGCTCAGCCTAGAGGCCACTTCCTCCAGGAAGCATTCTCTGATTGCTCCTGGACCAGGCTAAATGCTCTAGCTATGCACTCTAATACTACCCAGTCCTTACACTCTGTTTTTCCATACATCGGAGAGAGAATGAGAGAGGACAGAAGTAAAAAACTGCTCAGGCTGGGGGTGAGAGGAGCTGCAAGAGGCATGGGGAACATGAGAAAGAAAATGAGGTTTTCAGCAGTGTTTCTGCAATTTGCGAACATCATTTACTTTGTTAGCTACTGTGCTGTTTTGACTCAGCCAGGACCACTTGGGTCATGGTCCCTAAGAAATTCGGTTATTTAATACCCATCTTCCCTTCTGGACTGTGAACTCTATTAGGACAGGAACATTTTCATTTTGTTCACTGCTATATCCCCCATAATTAGCACAGTAACTTATGCAAGCCACTTGACCACACTGGGGCTCAGTTTCCGCATCTGTACTTTACTTCTGCTCTATGCCTCAATTTCCTGTTCTGTAAAATGGGTTGATAATTACCTACCTGTGGCCAGACTGTTATATCGGTGGAGGGGGCATCCCTGGGATTTGTGTTCTTGGTCAGTCCCCTCCCACACTGATTCTGGGCATGGCTATGTGACTTGGCCAATGGGCCATTAGCAAGCCTGATGCAGGCAGAGGCTTAATGACAGCCTGCTCATGAAGGCTTGGCTCCTGGTCCAGCTCCGTTTTGGAACCCAGCTGCTGCGCCGTGAAGAAGCTCAGGCTGGGTGATTGGGTGGTTAGGGGCCATGTGGAGGCTGAGCCATGTCTTGAACATTCTAGCCTGGGCAAGTGCCAACAGGATGCATCCGCACCTCACTTTACCACAACAAGCAGAAGAACCACCCAGCTAAACCCCAGGCAACCCACAGGATCATGAGAAATAACAATTGTTGTTGTTTCAAGCTACTAGGACTTGGGTGGTTTGTTATGCCAAAATAGATAACAAAAATCCCAGCCTATAAAACTTATAGGATGATTAAATGAATGAATACATGTATAATAAAATACATGCAAAAAGCATAGTTTTATACTGAGCTCTCAATACATTTTACCCATTATTATTACTGCTGTCATCATAGTATGTGGTCAGTAAATATTTGGCAAATAAAAAAACTGAATTCCTGTTTTCCTTCCCCGTTTCCTTGTTAGGCTCTCACCTGGGCTGAGAAATCAATGAGTTTTGGCAAGGGCTGCTTGCTGCCCTCATCACTTTTCAGAAAGTCCAGCAGGCTTCCTATATGGGGGAGAAGGGAGGAACATTTACTACTTTTACTATTTAATGGCAAAAACCACAATTACTTTTGCACCAATCTAATACTTTAGTGTGTGGTGAAGATTTTTCACAGTAGATTTAAATACAAATATTTGTTTGCAATTCCTAGTGTTTGAGAAAGAGAATTTGAGTTTTTGTGAAGTGACTTTTTGATTGCTAGATGAATTCTGGGACTGAGACAGCCCCTGAGCCTGGATGGCCGGGATCATGCCTTCACAGGACTGGCATAATTGCACAGTTAAAATGAAAAAGGCTTGAGGTTTCAAATCGCCCTAAATGGGATTGTGTGAGATGATTCTGTTTATCAAAAACTGGGCAGAGTGGCTAGGCATGAGGCTCACACCTGTAATTCCAGCACTTTAGGAGGCTGAGGCGAGAGGATCACCTGAGGCCAAGAGTTTGAGACCAGCCTGGGCAACATAGAAAGACCCCATCTCTAGAAGAAATTTACAAATATATATGTTAGGCCAGGCTCAGTGGTTCATGCCTGTAATCCCAGAGCTTTGGGAGGATCACTTGAGCCCAGGAGTTTGAGACGAGCTGGGGCAAGATGGCGAGACCCTGTCTCTAGAAAAAAATTTTAGAAGCTGGGCATGGTGGCTCACGCCTGTAATCCCAGCACTGTGGGAGGCTGAGGCAGGCAGATCACGAGGTCAGGAGATCGAGACCATCCTAACACGGGGAAACACCGTCTCCACTAAAAATACAAAAAAATTGGCCAAGCATGGTGGCAGGCGCCTGTAGTCCAGCTACTTGGGAGGCTGAGGCAGGAGAATGGCGTGAACCCGGGAGGTGGAGCTTTCATTGAGCCGAGATCGCACCACTGCACTCCAGCCTGGGGAACAGAGTGAGACTCCGTCTCAAAAAAAAAAAAAAAAAAAATTTTTTTTGGGGATGAGCTGGATGTGGTAGGGCATGCCTATAGTCCCAGCTACCGGGGAGACTAAGTCGGGAGGATCCTGGAGCCTCAGAGTTTGAGGGTACAGTGAACTATGATCATGCCACTGCACTCCAGCCTGGGCAGGCAGAGGGCAACCGTGTCTCTAAAAATAAATAAGTAAATAAATAAATAAAGTTAGCTGAGTGTGGTGGCATGGGCCTGTGGTCCCAGCCACTCGGGGGGCTGGGGTGGGAGGATCACTTGAGCCCGGGAGTTATGATTGCACCACTGCCTGAGTAACAGAGTAAGACCTGTCCCTAAAAAACAAACAAACAAAAAATGTCAGGGGTTGAAAATGGTTGTGAAACAGTGGCCTAAAAAATTCCCTGAGAAATCCTGAGTTGTGGCAGGGTGGGGGTAGGTGCAGAACTGCTGCTTTGCCAGCTCCCTCTCCCAGGGCATTGGCAAGTACAGGGAAGGCGACTGATGCAGGAGAGTGGCACCCCCATCACCCCCACCACACCCTGGCCCCTAAGGCTCACTGTGAACCATAAGCCCCTTCTCCCACCACCCAGGAGTATTCTGGCCCCATTCCCTTCTCCTGGTAGCCCCTTGTTCTCCCTTCCCCAGTGACCCCTTAACATGATTTCACCGCACTAACCAGAAGGGCTGAATTGTTGCATATTAGATTCTCAATGAGTACCTGTTGGAAGAGCTCCTGGCCAGATTGGGGCCATCTCAAGGGCAAGAACCATGTCCAAGCTACCCTTGAGCCCGCAATTGACCAGTATAGGCCACAGCCTGCACCCCCAGCCCCAGCGTGCAGCACCTTTGGCCATGAACTCCGTGATGATGTAGATGGGCTCCTTGGTGACCACTGCATGAAGTTTGACTAGCTTGTCATGCTGTAGAGTTTTCATCAGGTTGGCCTCTGCCAGGAAGGCCTCCACCGACATGCTCCCTGGCTTCATTGTCTTCACTGCCACCTTGGTGTGCTTGTTGTAGGTGGCTGGAGGGGGATAGAGAGCAGGGAAGGTGATCAGAGCCCACTGGTCTCCCTTACCTCCCTAGAAGGCCCAGCTGCAGACCTGCCTCCTCCAGAAAGCCTTTCCTGCTCATCTCAACTCTCAGAGAGGGAAGCGAAGTCATGGGCTTAGGCCTCAGACAAATGTGGGTTGAAAGGCGGGTTCACCACCTCCCAGCTGCGCACACTAGGGCAAGTCGCTTAACCTCTCTAAGCAGGTGTGAGATGTGCTTCCTCAGCTTCCTCATCTGTAAAGTGGAAATGGTAAGCCTTGCCTTTGAAGTACTGTTGCAAGGATTTAAAAATAGCTTTAAAATACCGCTCAGGTTATGTCACATACACACACTGCTCACTTTAATCTTAACATTTTCTTAAATAAATGCCAGACTTACTATGACTCCCAGGCCCTGCATGGCCCAGACTCGTCCTCCTCTCTAGCCTCATCAGCCACTAAACTCCCCTTCCCTTTTACGTGCCAGTCACCCTGCAGGTCACTCAGTCCCTCAAGCACCCAACTCCCCTCCCACCACAGGGATTTGGCACATGCTGTTCCCTCACCTCACCCCACCCTGCTTCATTTGGTGGTTCTTGTCAGTTTTACACTTGCTTGGGTTTCCATTTTGCCTTGGCTTCCAGGAAGCTCCAATCTAGAACCGTGGGCTTCCTGTAGTAGGAGTCTAGGGCCTTATATGATATTTTTGGCTTTCCAATCTCACCACTCAGATCTGTCTTACCTTCCTTTCCATATTTTCTTTTTTGTCAAATTCTTTTTAATTTTATTATTATTTTTTAGACAGAGTCTCACTCTGTGTCCCAGGCTGGAGTGCAGTGATGTGATCTTGGTTCCCTGAAACCTCCACCTCCTGGGTTCAAACGATTCTCCTGCCTTAGCCTCCTGTGTAGCTGGGATTACAGGCTCCCATCACCACGCCTGGCTAATTTTTGTATTTTTAGTAGAGATGGGATTTCACTATATTGTCCAGGTTTGTCTCAAACTGCTGACCTCAAGTGGTCCACTCACCTCGGCCTCCCAAAGTGCTGGGATTACAGGTGTGAGCCACCGTGCCCGGCCTTGCATGCAGCAGAATCTCAATAAATATAGTCAAAATACATGGATTTTAAACTTATTTTATCTGGCTGAGTTGTTTGCATCCCTGTAAATTGTCTTCGCTCCCATCTGGAACATAGTGGAGTATTAACACAGCAGGGTCCCCACACTGGGCTGGGCACTGCCTCTACCCCACACCCCTGCAAAGCAGGCAATGTTGTTTTTAAGTCCTTAGGGAAAATCAGCAGTTGTAAGATGTGCTTTTCTGATTTTCCCACAAGACCCTAACAGTGCTGGGCACACAGTAGGTGCTCAGAATAACCTGTTCATCAGTTGCCTGGAAATCTGCAAGCTGCATTTCCCCATTCTTAATTTTCAGTCATCTGAAAAGGTCTCTGGTTATCTCATTCCTAAACTATTAGGCAGTCCCCACTCCGTATGAGGGAGGGATTCCTCATCCGTGACACCTGCTTCCCAGAAGGAAGTTTCTGATCCCTACAGGACTGGTCTCAAAGGCAAATCAGTGTTTGCACAGCAAGACAATTTGGTTTGCTATCAGAGAACTGCTTCTTTATGGCTATTATTTAAATCTCCACTTCTGCTGCATTCCCACTTCGCCATAAGGTGTTCCTAGAAGCAAGCAACCTCCCTCTCCCCTCCACCCGCTGGCCCTGTGGGCTCTGGCCCTGGGTCCTTACCCATCCAGACTTCCCCAAACTGCCCAGCTCCAAGTTTCTTCTCCAGCTTGAGGGATTCCCGAGGGATCTCCCAGGCATCTTTCTCCCAAGGCTTCTGGGGCTTGGAAGACATGCAGGGCACCGACAGTTTCTGGCAGAGCCCATCGCTCCCCTCTGGAACAGAGTCCCTGGTCAATTGAGAGCAACAAGCACCGAGCCAGCCAGCCAGAGGTTGCTCCTCGGAGGCCGCCCTGCCTGGCCCACTGGATCTGTCCAGTGTTCCACCTGGTGGCCACCATCAGAGACATTCCCAAGCAAGCAGAGTGTGACGGGGTGCCACCTCTACATCCTGGTCACCCCACCCTCCTGCTCAACAGTCCTAAGCCTTCAGAAGCACCTGTCTGGGGATGGCCAGGAAGAACACAGCAGGTCTCAGGGGCTGCAGTGCATCCATGACTAGGAGTCTCCAGGACCATCGCAGTGGGGATGCCGCCGCCCCCCGCCCCCGGGGTGGGACTCACTCTTGTAGTGGTCCACCAGCTCCTGCAGGGTGCTGAAGGTGCTTCGGGGGGATATGTAGAAGCCCCCGTTGTCCAGGGTCCGGATTTTGTAATGTTTCACAGTATCTCCCTGCCGAGGGTCGTAGTCTCGCACGGACAAAGAGTAGCTTCCTGAATTGACCAAAGAGAAACCCCTCAGAATGGCATCTTGGAGGCCTGCCATCTTGCATTAGCACTCTCACACCCCATAAGGCTACCGCTCGCACCTCGGCAGAAGTGCACGAGGGTCTGAGTGGGCTGTGGGAGTCAGGCATCCTGGGCTCTCATCCAGGCTCTACCACACCCCTCCGTGAGACCTTGGCCACGTGACTATGTCACCTCTCTATGCCTCATTTTCCTCATCTGTAAAATGGGAATAGTTTTCATGCCTCCCTACCTGATCCTATTGCCTGATGGCTAAAAGAAGTACCCCTGTAAACTACTTGGAAACTGAACACTCTGCAAATGTTGGCTATCATCATCATCTTCTTCATTATTTCTGATCTATTGATCCATCTTTCTATCATCTACCCTACAAAAAACCAAGAAACCATACTGTACTTTTTACTTTTTCATAAGAACTCAGGCTATGACTTTTCTGGAAAAAATCCAGAAATCCAGTTCAGTTATTGAAATATGAACACGCTGTGGTAGGCTCAATAATGGTCCCTCAAGACGCTCATGCCCTAAACCCTGGAACCTGGGAATATGTTACCTTACATGGTAAAAGGGACTTTAGATATGTGATTAAGTTAAGGATATGGAGATGGAGGGATTATTCCAGATGATCCAGGTAGCCCCAGTGTAATCACTTGGGTCCTTTTAGAGGGAGGTAGGAAGGTGAAAGTGGAAGAGGTGAAGATGGAAACAAGAGCTTGGACAGATGTCAGGAAGGGGCCATGAGCCAAGGAATGCTGTAGTCTCTGGAAGCTAAAAAAGGCAAGAAAATGAGTTCTCCCCTGAAGCCCCCAGAAGGAACCAGCCCTGCTGATATTTTGAGCCCAGTGAGGTCAGACCACTGATCCCCAGAACTGTTAGAGAATAGACGGATGTTGTTTTAAGCTAGTAAGTTTGTATTAATTTGTTACAGCAGCAATGGGAACCTAACATACATATTAGGCTAGTGCAAAAGTAATTGCAGTTTTTGCCATCGAAAGTAGTGGAAAAAACTGAAATTACTTTTGCACCACCCTATATTATCACATAGAGCAGAAACACATAAGTCTTTCAGATCATGACCACTGTTTTGCCGTTTGTCAGCTGAGTGCCCTTGGGCAAGTTATTAGTCCTTATGTCTCAGTTTTCTCTACCATGATAATAGCACAATGTCATAGGATTTGGGGAAGTTTAAACTTTTTTTTTTTTTTTTTTTTTTGCGTTGGAGTCTCACTCTGTCACCTGGGCTGGAGTGCAGTGGTGCAATCTTGGCTCACTGCAACCTCTGCCTCCCAGGTTCAAGTGATTCTCCTACCTCAGCCTCCTGAGTAGCTGGGATTACAAGCATGTGCCACCATGCCCAGCTAATTTTTGTATTTTTAGTAGAGATGGGGTTTCGCCATGTTGGCCAGGCTGGTCGCCAACTCCTGAGCTCAGGTGATCCACCTGCCACAGCCTCCAAAAGTGCTGGGATTACAGGCTTGAGCCACCTCACCTGGCCAGTTTATACTGTTGAATGAATAATAGTTTACCATACATGCCAGGCAAGTTCAAAGCACTCTGTGTAAATGAACAATGAATGAATAAGAATAATATTCATTATAATGAATTATAACTATATAAATTATATTATTTATTTAATGAATGAATAACTTCCTGGGGTAGGGGTTTTATAATATCATCATCCTCACTTATAGATGAGGAAACTGAAGCCCAGAGAGGTGAAGTAACTCACCCACAGTCACACAGCTCGTAAGTGGCACAGCTGGGATTCAAATCCAGGCAGCTGGCTCCAGAGCTGCTCTTAGCCACTCTGTCCCAGTTGTGGGTGAGACTGGCTTGGTTGCCGCTGGATGGGGCGTGGCAGGATCCAGGAAGCAGCAGGGTGGGATTCAGGGGCCTCATGCTGCAACTGTTATTAAATAGGCTACACTTCCCACCATGTCCCATCTCAGAGGGCTGTGAAAGCTGGACCAGGCTCATTTTCCTGCCCCACAGATCTGTGATGGTTTCTTTGATTTCTCTGCCCTTGTCTGCAGAATGGACCAGCCCAAGCCAAAAGCTGTCCTGGGCACAGCTAGAGAGGAGAAGCGCTGGGCTGTGCACAGCTTTGTCTTTTTGTCTCCTTTCTTTTTCCCCCTGGGAGCTTGAACAGGGCTCGCTGGGTGGGAGGAGGCAAAGCCCTAGCATTTACTGAGCTGCCACACTGACTGTGGGTAGCGTTATCCTAGCCACATAAAAGCGTCGCCAGTTCAGATAGCTGAGGGTCAGGTAGAAGGCCACACGAGGAACACGCCTTTAATTAGTGTCCCCAAATCTGTTTGCTTCAGGGTACTGTGAGGTCACATTTTATACAATGTACTTGGCTTATTTGAGTCAAGCAGTTGTGAACCTAAATAGTAAAGGTGGACTTAGCGCATGAAATCTGAAATCCACAAGAATCCTACTGATGTTCATTGCTTTGAGGCAATGAGCCTCAATCAATGCCAGTTTAAGCTACGTGATGTTTTCCAGGCCTGTTCTTGCCATCCATGTACCCAACCAGCATGAATCCACCCTTGCAGCACAGAAATTCCAGGAAGCTGGTCACCTGATATTAAAACTTCCAAAAGCTTCCAAGGAGCATTTTCAGCAGAGTCCCAGAGAAGGCTGGCTTGATTCTCTTCTGGTGACCTCATCCTACCTCATTTCCTTACAGAGGAAGGAAAGGAGGAAAGAGGCTTGTGGATAAGATATACTGTAATAGGTATTTTATTTTATTTTTTTAGAGACGGGGTCTTGCTCTGCTGCCCAGGCTGGAGTCCAGCGGCTCCATTATGGCTCACTGCAGCCTTGAACTCCTGGACTCGAGAGATCATCTGACCTCACCCTTGCAAGTACTGGGGAGTACAGATGTGCGCCACCACACTTGGCTAATTTTTCAAATTTCTCGTAGAGATGGGGTCTCATTATGTTGCCCAGGCTGGTCTCAAACTTTTGGGCTTAAGTAATCCTCCTGCCTTGGCCTCCCCTACTTGGTCTCTTATGGGTATTTAAAAACAAAACAAAACAAAAAACAATTCTGATACTTTGTAATCCTGACACTTTGGAAGGCTGAGGTAGGCAGATTGCTTGAGTCCAGAAGCTCGAGACCAGCCTAGGCAACATGGCAAAACCCCATCCCTACTAAAAAGAAAGAAAGACAGACAGATAGAAAGACAGAAAGAAAAGATTAGCCAGTGTGGTGGCACCTACCTGAAGTCCCAGCTACTCAGGAGACTGAGATGGGAGATCATTTGAGCCCAGGAGGCAGAAGTTGCAGTGAGGTGAGATTGTGCCACTGCATCCCAGCCTGGGCAACTGAGTGAGACTCTGTCTCAAACAGAACAAAACAGGCTGGGCGCAGTGGCTCACACCTGTAATCCCAGCACTTTGGGAGGGTGAGGGGGTGGATCACAAGGTCAGGAGATCAAGACTATCCTGGCCAACATGGTGAAACCCCGTCTCTACTAAAAATACAAAAATTAACTGGGCTTGGTGGCAAGTGCTTGTAATCCCAGCTACTTGGGAGGCTGAGGCAGGAGAATCGCTCAAACCCGGGAGGCGGAGGTTGCAGTGAGCCGAGATCGCGTCACTGCACTCCGGCCTGGCAACAGAGCGAGACTCTGTCTCAAAAAACAAAACAAAACAAAAACCAAAACAAATGAAAAACCAAGTTAGTGAAGATCAAGCTTCAGCTGGATGTTTCTTTGTTTTCAGGGCCTAAGCCACATGGCACTAGTGCCACTGACCTAAACTGGCAGCTGTGGGGAATTAGAAGGGCCAAGCCAGGCACAGAGCCTCAACCCTCCCTGGCTCAGGTGGTCAAGAGCAGGAGAAACCTGGCAGCCACAGCACCCGGTTGGGTTTTTCAGCCTTTGCTAAGGCATTTTCCAAGCGAAGGGTGGTGGCCAGTCCCACCTGGGGCACCTCTGCAGGGAGGACAGTGTGGGGAGGGCTGGTGTCACCTTTAGTGGTCTCGCTATCCCGGATCATGAAGGAGCCCAGCATGTTGCCGGGAGCCAGGAGTTGGCGCTCTGCGTCCTTCCGGCTGATGCCCTTGAAGAACCACCTGATGGAAAAGGGAGGGGACAAATGTGAACCCGGGGTCGTGCAGTCCTGTCCTGCCTACACAGGGTGCCTGTGGCCATGCAAGTCCCAGGGGGATGTCAGGATACAGAGGGTCTGGCTTCCTGCAGCATCAGTTTTACTCAAGGATTTTTTGGGGAGAGAGGGGAAAGGAGCCATTCTTTTGATATCCAAATAGACGTTTTACCAAGGTGAATCCTGTTTGCTGAGACTGAAGCCTATGCAATTTGGAGCAGGGGAGCTTCCTTTAAGAAAAATAATATGGCATTCCAAGTGCAAAAAGCTGACGGGTCATTCCAGTGCCGCTTGCTGTGAGGGACAGGAAGACAGAGTGGAAACAGACAGCAGTCTTAACCAACTGTGGTCAAAGTCTTACTTTTGCAGATTTCACAAGCATACAAGATCCTTCTTGGGACCTTGGAAACCTGTGAAGGGCCTGAGTTTTGTTAGCTTTACAACCAATCCTCCTCTGCATATACAGAGTTGAATGTAAAGTTGGCATGAACTTCTAAGCTACAACGTGAGATTGGAAAGAATTTTATACTTAGGATCATGTCCTGGGATCTTTTCTTCATTCTTCCTGAGTATTGGAGATATTTGGGTGGAAAAGTTCAAGCAGCAGCAGCTGAATCCATTCTCACCTTCACTAGGGTGTGGAGCAGTTGGAAAAAAGCCGCAGACCTGACTGACCTCAGCCCACCTTGGCCCTGCCACAAACCTGCAGTCTGACTTTGAGCAAGTTCCCTTCCTCTTTGGGCCTTTGGTTCCTCTGTTATCAACTGGGGAGAAAGTTAACATCTATCTTGCTGTCTACCCAACAGCTCTATGGAGTTGTCACCTGTATCATTCCTTTTTTTTTTTTGAGACCGAATCTTGCTCTGTCACCCAGGCTGGAGTGCGGTGGCATGATCTCGGCTCACTGCAACCTCTGCTTCTTGAGTTCAAGCAATTCTTTTGCCTCAGCCTCCCAAGTAGCTGGGATTACAGGCATGCACCACTACACCCAGCTACTTTTTGTAATTTTAGTAGAGACGGGGTTTCACCATGTTGGCCAGGCTGGTCTCGAACTCCTGACCTCAGGTGATCCACCCACTTCGGCCTCCCAAAGTGATGGGATTACACGTGTGAGCCACTGCTCCCGGCCCCATTTTATGGATGATGAAATTGAGGAACAGAGAGGGCAAGTAATTTGCCTAGAGTCACACAGCTGGGAAGTTGCAGAGGCAGGATTTGAAGCTAGGCAGTCTAACTCCAGAACCCGAGATCTTAATCACCATGCTATGTTGCCCATCTACCTTCTTTGCTTTCATGTTGTAAAGTGACTTGTGCCATGGTAAAATATTCAACAATGTAAAAGTAAGAACTGTCTCCCTGACAATTCTGCTCCTAGGAAGTTATCCCATGTATCTTGCACAAGGGAGAAATGACATATACACCAGGAGATTCACTGCAGTACATGCCTGGAAATAACTTAAGAGACCACAGTATGGGGCAGAGGTTAAATGGACGGTAGGACATCTACAGGACAGACCCCCTGTGGTATAAAAAGGAAGGAGATGTCCGGGAGCAGTGACTCACGCCTATAATCCCAGCACTTTGGTAGGCCGAGGCAGGCGGGTCCCCTGAGGTCTGGAGTTGGAGACCAGCCTGACCAACATGGAGAAACCCTGTCTCTATTAAAAATACAAAATTAGCCAGGCATGGTGGTGCATGCCTGTAATCCCAGCTACTTGGGAGGCTGAGGCAGGAGAATCGCTTGAACCCGGTAGACGGAGGTTGCAGTGAGCCGAGATCGCACCATTGCACTCCAGCCTGGGCGACACAGTGAAACTCCTTCTAAAAAAAAAAGGAACGAGGTGCTGCATGGAAGGTCTGAACGAGAGGTATGGAACAGTGTGTGTGGTATCTACCACTTGTGTGAGACAAGTGGGAAGAGATGTCTGTTCTTATATAAGGAAGAAGCATCTGGGAGGACTCACGAGAAACTGGTTGCTTCTGGGGAGGGGTTGGGGACAGGGTGGGAAGAAGACTTTTCACTCTCTCTTCTGCATGCTTCCCCACATTTGCATTTTGAAACATTTGAAAGTATTGCCTATTTCAAGGGGGAATGAGAGAAACTAAGATTCCATCCCGCCCTGATTCCCAAGGTCCCAGTTGTGCTCCCCAGAGGCAACCTCTGTTAGCAGTTTCTTGATTCAGACACAAGGACCCCTGAGTGCCCTGAAGACAGATATGTGTATTCATTTTTAATTTTTATTATTGTTTTTTGAGATAGAATCTCGCTGTGTTGTCCAGGCTGGAGTGCATTGGCATGATCTCGGCTCACTGCAACCTCTGCCTCCCAGATCAAGCGAATCTCGTGCCTCAGCCTCCGAGTAGCTGGGATTACAGGCGCCCGCCATCACACCTGGCTAATTTTTGTACTTTTAGTAGAGGCAGGGTTTCACGATGTTGGCCAGGCTGTTCTCGAACTCCTGACCTCAAGTGATCTGCCTGCCTCGGCCTCCCAAAGTGCTGGGATTACAGGTGTGAGCCTCCGCGCCTGGCCAGATATGTGTATTTAGATCAGTGGTTCCCAAGCTGGGTCCCGGGAGCAGCAGCAGCAGCAGCTACCTCACCCAAGAACCTGTTAGAAATGCACATTCGGAATCTGACAGTGGGGCCCCGGAAAGCACTTATTAGCCAGCAATCCGGGCGATGCTGATGCTGCTCGTGTCTGAGAACCCCCCACCTAGGTTATTTTGCCTTTGTTTGCAAATGATAACCCCCCATTCATGTTGTCTACACTCTGCATTTTCCACTTAGCAATTATGTTGCCTTTGAGAAATAATACCAGCCATGCCTCCTCCAAGGTTGCTGCAAGGACCACATGAGGTGACCCAGGCATTCTGTAAGTGTTCAGACCCTGGAGTGGAGAAACAGAAGGGGATGACCCAGGGCAAAGCCTGGAAGAAGGAGAGAGAAGCAGCTCAGAGCCCCCAGTTCCATGATCACTAAGAAGGGATGGCATTATTATTATTATTTTTTCTTTTGACAGAATATCGCTCTTGTCCCCCAGGCTGGAGTGCATTTTTCGGCTCACTGCAACCTCTGCCTCCCGGGTTCAAGTGCTTCTCCTGCCTCAGCCTCCTGAGTAGCTGGGACTACAGGTGTGCACCACCACACCCAGCTACTTTTTTTGTATTTTTAGTAGAGATGGGGTTACACCATGTTGGTCAGGCTGGTCTCAAACTCCTGACCTCAGGTGATCTGTGTGCCTTGGCCTCCCGAAGTGCTGGGATTACAGGTGTGAGCCACCATGCCCAACCAGAAGGGGGTGGCTTTAGAGTGGGAAAAGCCCAGACATTTTCATTTTTAACAGGCAAGCATCCCAAACCCATAGTACCATCTAACTAGAAAGAGGAGGCAGAAGAGACAAAATAATGGGAACTGTCATTTGTCAACTTTTGATTGGCTGGTTTTTAATGGGATGTACTGCCACCCCTCAGTGTAGTCATCTTTTTAGTCATCAACCTCATCCACCATACAGAGAACATCTCCAGTGGGGAGCCCCATCTGAGTCATCTTGTATCCCTGGAATAGGGAATCAACAGGTATCTGTTGGATGATGGATGGATGGATGGATGAATGGATGGATGGATGGGTGGATGGATGGATGATTGAAGTATATTTTTAGAGTCAAACTAGACACGAGAAGAACCCACAGCCAAGAACGATGGGTTACGGGGAGCTCCTTGAGGGTAGGGAGATATCTTATTTGTTTCCACAGCCCTTAGCCTGGCACAGGGCTTGAAGAGTCATGGGCATGTGTTTGTCGAATGAATCAAATGAGGGATGGTCCAGGTGCAGTGGTTCAGGCCTATGATCCCAGCACTTTGGGAGGCTGAGGCGAGAGGATCACTTGAGCCAGGGAGTTTGAGACCAGCCTGGGCAACATAGGGAGACTAAAAAATTAGCTGGGCATGGTGATGCACACTTGTAGTCCCAGCTACTAGGGAGGCTGAGGTGGGAGGATCACCTGAGCCTGGGGAGGCTGAGGTTGCCGTGAGCTGTGATGGTGCTACTGCATTCCAGCCTGGGCAACAGAGTGAGACCCTGTCTCAAAACAAAACAAAACAACAAATGAGGGATGACTGGCCAGGTGTGAGCTGTCTCACCTCTCCAGAGACCCTTCTTGGCAAGACCATATGCTTCATTCAACAATATTTGTTGAGCACTGACTGCCTGCCAGCCTGTGCCGAGGATGCAGCAGCAGACAAAGTCCCCGCTCTCACCAGCTCTCTTCCTTGCAGGGCAGGCAGAGAATGCACGTATAACCAACCAAAGAAACAAGGTCGTTTTGCTAGTAAAACATGTTCAGAAGGGAATAAAACAGGTTTCCACAAGACAGAGTCACAGCGGGGACCCACTTTAGCCTCTCTTCCCTGACTGGAAGGATGAAACCTGAAGGAAGAGAAGGAGCCAGTCAAACCCAGAGTCCTGGGAAGAGTATGTGCCAGGCAGTGGTACAGTGTGTGCAGAGGTCTTGAGTTGCAAACAAGGCTGACTTTGCTTGACTCTTTCTGGAAGGTAGGAAATAGGATACTTACTCCTCTGTCTCCAGAGAGTCAACGCGGGCGACATAATTGCTTGGGATGTAGCCCTCCTTCCGGGTGGCCAGGGATCGAGCCTTCCACCACTCCCCAGATCTGAGGGACAGGAGGGAGTAAAGGTGTTAGGGGCAGAAGGATCATTCTCCAGTCTCCTCAAGCTCCCTAGCATTGACCTAGAAAATCCCCTGCCTCCAGAAAGCCAGTAGGGTAAGGGACAGGGCTGTGACTATGTCAGCCCCCCAGCATGTGCCCATGATTAGGGTAGGGATCCTTACGACAGTTCCTGTTGTGCATCTGAGGGTCTGGAATCACCCTGTCCACAGCCCAGAGCCCTGGGTCTCTGGCTCCACTCCTCTTCCCTGGACTTGTAACTTTGGTCTTATTAGCTATACCCATGGCAGGGTCCTGCGCCCATGGAGACTCAGAATGGTTCAGCTGGGGCTGATAATAGGGGAGAGTGGGCTTGGGGGTCCAACCAGGCATGACCTCTCCCATTCTCGGGATTCAGCACATCCTGGACACTATACCCACGATGGTGAAGGCTGTAGGAGATCGGAGGTGGAAAACTCAGAGATCCAAGGATTTCCGAATGTAAGGTCACCTTGATGGGGCCTGGTCCACAGGTAAAAACCGTTGGCTTAATCACAGGAGCCCTAGGAAGGCTTCCCTGAGAAAGCTTCACCTGTTCATCCCAGGCTGGACGTGCACTCTTAGTAAGTGCACAATCCCCTTCATCCAGGTTGAGAGCAAACCCTTCCTCCACTGTTGTGATTAGCTTCTCTTTAGACATTTGTACCCAGGATAAGATGGCCCATCTATCAGGTTCTTTATGGAAGCACAAAAGAGCACATAGTTGAGTAGAGGAGGCAGGTTTGTCTTAGGGGAGTGGGATGGGGACTCACTCCTCTAGGACGACCATCTGGTCCCCCTTCTGGAAGCTGAGGTCTTCGTGGTGAATGGCCTCATAATCATACAGGGCAACCACGATGATGTCCTCAGAGCCTGTTGGAAAGGGAGACACACGGAGGGTGAGGTTTCATCTAAGTACATCCACAGCCCTGGGTGACCCTCGCCTGGCACCTGGCACAGCTCCGCACCCATCAATATATGGCTCCTAGTATAAGTAGGCATCTCACCATGCTGGGTGTGATTCTCAAGTTTAAAGCTAAATATGTTTTGTTCATGTTACTAAACAGCGTTCTAGAAACACAATAGCCTGTGCAAAGTACTTCAGAGGAAATTTCGGGGATTCTCAATGAGGGTTTGACTGTTTGGGATTTTTGCCTCAAGCTGAGTGAGCCTAGTGGAATCCTCTGCAGGACACGTGACTCCACTGCATCTGCTGGGAGATACTTACCCTCCCCAGTTCCTGGTGTGTTCCTGTTGTTGCTATTAGGCCCCTGTGGGGAAGAAATGGGAGAAGGGTATGAATCTGACCAATGTGTGGGGACCCACGGAAGGTCTGTGTTGAGGATACCCAAGAGCATCTTACCCTAGCCCTGTATGTCATGGGAGGAGGCCCACATAGGGCAGGGGACATGCCTGGCACCACACAGCACATTAGGGGCAGAGCCAGCAAACAAAATGATCCAGGTTTTTTGTTTTTTGTTTTTGTTGTTGTGTGAGATGGAGTCTCACTCTGTCACCCAGGCTGGAGTGCAGTGGAGTGATCTCAGCTCACTGAAACCTCTACCTCCCGGGTTCAAGTGATTCTCCTGCCTCAGCCTCCCGAGTAGCTGGAATTACAGGCGCACGCCACCATGCCCAGCTAATTTTTTGTATTTTTAGTAGAGACGGGGTTTCACCATGTTGGCCAGGCTGGTCTCGAACTCCTGACCTCAGGTGATCCACCCGCCTCGGCCTCCCAAAGTGCTGGGAGAGCCACCGTGCCCAGCCAGAATCCAGGTTTCTTGAGTTGTGGCCTTGGCCTTCCGTCTTGGACACACTGGGGGTTGCTGCTTGACCCCTCCCCTCAAAACACAGTGAGGGGGTTGGTCCGGATCAGTGTTTTCTGACTACATTTGAAGAAATCATAGGCCCACCAATGATTTATAGTTCATAAATAAAGGCTCCATTATGTATGTGAAACAATCTAAGTGTCCATGCAAAGGGGAAATGACACCTAAACTGTGGTGTTCTAAGCAACTTCTTCTTTTTTTTTTTTTTTTTAAAGAGACAGGGTCTCCCTGTATTGCGCAGGTTGGAGTGCAGTAGTGTGATCATAACTCATGCAGTCTCGAACTCCTGAGCTCAAGCAGTCCTCCCGCCTCAGCCTCCCAAAATGCTGGGAGTACAGGTGTGAGCCACTGCGCCTGGTCTGTGGTTTCATTTTTGAGAAGAATGTATTTGTGTGTCACACAGTAGGATTATTGTGCGGATTAGGGTGCTAATAACCGTAAAGGCTTAGAACAGTGCTTGGTTCATAGTCAGCTCTGCATAAACATAAAAGAAGTTGGTAAATACCTCTCCTAGCATGACTGCTTCTCTTTTTACAACTCTTGCTGTTGTTCCTGCTGCTACTCTTGGTCTTATACTCGTGCAATTATGGTTGGTACTATTACTATGACAATTGTTACTGTATTTTTGCAGTGCTGCTGATACTACCATTATGTGGTCACTTCAGCTGCTATCATGACTAGTCACTCATTATTCTCAGCATTGCTTTTGCTTCTGCCCAGGCCCAAGGCCTGAGATGCTCACTCAACCTGTTTGGTGGAGCCCAGGCTGACGGGTCAAACCTGGGCTGCAGGAAAAGAGAGGTGACTTCCTTGTCCCTATGCATGCTGGCACTGCATCCCAGAGAGTCCAGTCGGGTCACTGTTGGTGGCCAGTCAGCTCCCTTTCACTCCAAGCTCACCCTGCCCAGCCTTGGGAAGACAGGAGGCTGTTAGGGCAATGTTGGGGCAGCATCCGGCAGCCCACAGGGAAACTGGGACCTCCCCTACTCACCGGCTTGATGGTGGATGTGGGATCCGGCACATACACAGGGCAGTGTGGGTTGGCGCTGGTTTCAGTTTTTGAGAATGTATTGCCTCCGGCCTGGAGGAACTTGGACTTCATGCACCCCATCCTGCAGCAGACAGAAGGGAGGTGAGCCCCGGTTACCAAGAGCCTCATGCGGGGAAGTCTTCTGATGCTGGCATTCCAGGTCTCCTACCCCCGGACTGGCTCCCACTGGCCTTCCCAGTCTTAACTCCCCTTCTAGCTCCAAGCACCCTCATCATCCCCACACAGAACCCACTCCATCCTTGCCACCTCTGGGCTTCCCCATGTCCACGTGCCATAGCACTGGCCCAGGGCTGACAAGCTGTCATTGTCATGGGTACTAAGGACCAGCGTGATGGGTGTTTATTCAGAGGATGGCATGAGGATAACAGAAATGTAACAGGTCGAGCTGTTGGGGGGCAGAGCAGGTGGTGGGCCCTGCCAGCTCTCAGGTCAGAAAGCCTCAGCTGATCCTTGGCCCCTCCACCCCACCAGCACCTCTTTCCTGCCCCCTACCCACCTCTTGGATCTTCATTGGCAAAATGGGGACAATAATAAGACCTATGGTGGGGAAACACTCAGTGCAGTGTCAGGCTCAGAGCAAACACTACAGAAAAACTACAGTGTTATCTGATGATAAATTGCCATTTTTATATTAAATAACAAGATGAGGTCACATAACATGGCTCAAACAATCTAGTTTGTCAAGGCACTGTATTCCTGGTATCATTTTGTAAATGGCTTATAACTCCTTCCTTCCCTCCTTCCCTCCCTCCCTCCCTTCCTTCCTTCCTTTCTTCCTCCTCCCCTTCCTCTCCTTCCCGCCTCCTCCCTCCTCCTCCTCTCTCTCTTCTCCTTCTTCTTCTTCTTCCTCTTCCTCTTCCTCCTCTCTTTCTGTCTCTCTCTGAGTTATCTGGTAATTCATTCATCCATTTACACAGCCAACATTTACTGGGCACTTTTCTAAACTGTGAAAAAGGGAAGCAAATTCATGCCCTCAGGAATTCAACTGTAGCCAAATAGGAGACAGAGACAATAAACAGGCCAACAAATAAACAACAGGACAAATAACAGGACAAATTGAGTTAGTGAAAAGTGTGAGGACAATAAGAGAGGGTACTACGGGAAACAACAAGTCTGGCCCTTTTAGGCAGGGCATTTGGCATTTGGGGAGGACCTCTCAGAGGAGGGGATACAGAACTTGCGGTCTAAATTACACAAAGGAGCCAGTCAGGGGACACTCTGAGGGAAAAGTGTTCCAGGCAGAGGGAACAGCAAATGCAAAGGCCCTGAGGCTGGCACGTGCTTGGAGAGAAGCTGGAGGCACTGAAAGCAGGAGAGTGTGGCTGAAGCGCATGGGCACGGGAGAGGGTGGTTGTGATGAGGCCACCACACCCTGGAGGGCCAGTGAGGACTTTGGATTTTATTCTAAGGATGATGGAAAGTTTCTGACAGGAGAATGATGGAATTCAATTTGCACTTTAAATAATCCCACCAGTGGCTAAGTGAGGCGTGGACAGTAGGGAGTAGGGCAGGGAACCCTGTGAGAAATCTGCCTAAATGTTCAGGTATGAGATGATGGTGGCCCAGGGCAGGGTGAGGGCAGAGAGGAGTTAAGCATTGGACAGGTTTGGGGAACATATTGGAGGTAGAGCTTGCAGACTTTGCTGCTGTATTCAATTAATTTAAGGATGCTTAAACAAAACACATTTACTCTGAGTAGAGTAAAAACATAATTGTAAAAGTGGAAGAAACGTTTCATTTCTTTTCTCAAAATGTGCACACACATTTGCTGAGAAGGCAGGCTGTGACAACCACATAAGGAAGTGCTTGCTTTTCTCATCTCTGCACAATTGCCATTTTCTTCTAAAGCAGTTAGAACTCAGTTATACTTATCTTGTTAAAATAAACATGTGTTGTGGTTTAAGAAAAAAAAAAAAAAAAAAACACCCAAATTCTTAGGCTTAGACGAGTTACTTTTTTTTTTTTTTTTTGAGACGGAGTCTGGCTCTGTCACCCAGGCTGGAGTGCAGTGGCGCCATCTCGGCTCACTGCAAGCTCCGCCTCCCGGGTTTACGCCATTCTCCTGCCTCAGCCTCCCGAGTAGCTGGGACTACAGGCGCC